TCCCACAGGGCAGGGAATCCTGACAGCTCTTAGGACTGGGGAGGGAGGGGGAGGTAAGTGAGGGATTGACAGGGAAGTGGGAGGTGGGGAGGAGGTGGAAATTTTTAATACATAAAAAAAAACCATTTTCTTTATGCTCTTGACTGACTTATCGCTCTGTTTTAGTCTGGATTGGGGAAAGATGGTCCCATATCTTGCCACACAGCCTGACATATTCCTAAACAAAACAGCTTTGCGGTAGGATTTGCCTGGCATGCAGTGGCTGCATCTTTAATAGCCTCCCCATCAACATTGCACATTTTGCTTCAGGCTGTTATCGTGGCCTGAGTGATTCTGTGAGGTCTGAAAGCCAAAAGGTTTCCCATAACTAAGATTTGGTCTTTTAACCCTGTGAAGTCGGAAGTCCCTGGGACACAGCAACCAAGAAATCACTGCCTTGAACACTGTCCTGAGTGATTTTAGACATCCCAGACCTTCGCTAGTGAGCAGAGGGAAGTGCCTCTGGCAGCAATGGAAGCCATCTGGGAGGCATAGATCTGCATGTGTCCTAGGAAGTACCTGGTCGAAGCATTTATGTGCATTCTCAGCCCCACGGGAGTGCACAGTGCTTAATAAAGCATCTTAATTTGGATTTAATAGGGTATCTACTGTGTGCTAAAAACAGCAAATTGCTATTTATTAATGACATAATTATTAAAACTCAACACCTGGGCACTGTAAGCTACATCAGGAATAGGAAAGTTCCTCAGAATATTGTTTTAATAATTACCTTATTTAATTATTTACATATTTGAATTAGATTTCTTTAGTAGCCAGATGAAACCTTAATAAGAATGTATTAAATGTAGAATTTTATCCTCAGAATATGGTTCACCCGACTTCTATCTTTCTTCCTAAATATATCCTAAATATCTTAGACTTTCTGTTTATATAATTAGTATATTTTAGATTCAGACCTCACTTGCCTTCAGTCATCAAATATTGGCATGCGCAGAAAATGGCATCCCTTTGTAAGGCACCTTTGAGGCTCAGCCAATCTAATTTGTGGCGCTGTTCTCAGCCCTCCCCAGTCTACTTTTCAATTGCGCTCTTGGTGATGTAACTCCTTTGGGTAACAGGATGCTTCTGCCTGGTTGTCCCCCAGTTGTCCCCAGAATCTTTCCCATCATCATGTTTAAATCAGAACGCGTCTAACTTAAGTTCTCCACAAAGCCAATTGCTTCTCTGAGACCCACCCCCCTTCCAGGCCACCATTAGTTCCCGTGTGTGCTCCTTAGCCCCGTCTCCAATCCGCTCCTTTCCTTCTCTCTGCGGAGCTAACAGTTCAACCCAGGCTTTGAATATCATTCTTGTAGATAGATTTCTCTAATTCCAATTTCTCCCAGCTCCATTCTGACACATGGTTAACAGATTCTTCTTCCTAAAATAAAATTTTAAAATTATCGCATTCTTTTTTTTTTTAATCGAATACTTGTTGTAGCCTATTCAGGTTACCAATCCAAGACCTAGCCCTCCAGGCTGATGTGCAGTCTGGTTCCCCAGTACCTCATTGATCTCGTATCCCATATTTATTGACTCTTATAAAATTCATTGAAGCTGATTTTGTGTTGATACTGAACACAAGTTGCCAACCATGTGCAGCATAAAACTCATTTATTGAAAACCTCATGTTTCCAGGAACTGTTCTCCGGTCATTTCAGAAGTTGTTTCTTAAGTCTCCCGAAGAACCTCACAATTGCCAGATCCACAGAATTACTGGTTCTCCTTTGCAGATGAGGAAGGTGACCCGGGAGGTCCAGGATCTGAAGCCCTGTGGGACACTGCCTTGGACTGGTAGATGTTGTATATCGGTGAACCTCATAGATGATTTTGACGACCTCATTCATGCCAGTGTACTCTTGGTTCATGTAATACAGCCCCACTTGGGTCTCACTGCATGCTGCTTTCTTGTTTGCTGCTAATGTGGAGTAAAGTCATCTCTGACACCCCCATTCACTGTGGTCATCCCTCCTTCCAGCTCACAGCCCTTATCACCTACATTCTTCTTTTCACAATCACACATAATTTTCCGGCCCCTTTTGCTTTAGCCTTCAACTCAATAGAACATTTTTTAATGTGTTGTTTCTCCCAGACAAATTGAAAGCACTTGGAGAGCTAACCAGATTGGTATATTGCTGCATGCCATGAAATACCTAATATGCAATTGTGTATAGAGTTTATGTTCACAAGCACTTTGTGCCTTTTGGCATAGCTACTAAAGAAAAATCTCTTCCAATAATGGTTGTTTATACATGGGCACAAAAAGTCTCATTAGTGGTGCTTTTCTTACGTCACCCTTTTTGCTTGACAAACTTCTCTTTCTCTCCAACCCAGACTTGATAAACTTATACTCAGCCCCTAAAATTTAACACAGTTGACACGTGTCCCAAAAGGGTCATGTAGCATCCACCTACAGTCAAGTTTAGGCATCTAACTTCTATGCTCCCATAGCATTGGATGAATCCTTCTGTGTCACAATACATTAAAGGTTGGATTCCTGTCTATTTTATATTGTTATATTACATTACCCTTAGGGATAAGGACTTTATGTTCTTAGTGCTTAGCACAATGCTGGCATATGGAATGTGACTCATGAATATTGACAAGAGAATAAATGAATGGGTGAATGAATCAATACAAGCAAACAAAGCAATCCTGGTATGTTTCTGACAGCCAGCATTAAGGGAAGTAAGGTACAGAAAGTATCCATGGAAACTATGAAATACAGGGAGCCTATCTCTTACTTTTCCAAGTCTTTCTTATGAGCAGGAATTAGCGAAAATCACAGTGTTTCCTTGCCAGCTCCATTTAATTTTTTTTCAGGGAGGTGTCGAGGATAGAACTCGAGCCCTCGTGTCAAGGGTGTGCTCTGAACCTCTAATTTAATCTGAAAGCCGACAGTGTGCTATGAGTTGCCACCTAGAAAATGATACTTCCCATCCCAGAACATCTGCACTCGTTGATTTAGCGCTCATCACTCTGGTGGTGCCTGTAGTCTCCTGGGTCCCACACCAAGCACGGCTTCTCCTTTGGCTCCTTCCAGGGCAGTGTGCCTCCTTCAGGCTCCACTGTTAAGCTGGCTAGGAGAGGTGGCAAGCATTTCTCCAACGTTTTTTTCATGAGTTGAATGCTTTCCACTTGTAAATGATAGGGGTGGGGGAGGAGACGATTCTTGAGGATTCTTCCAAGCATGAGGTGTGATCGTCTCATTTAATATACTTACTGCGTTGACAGCTCTGGCCCACTCCACCTTCCATGCCACTTGGGGACTGTCCATTGTTCTCTAGTGTATGATTAGCAGATTAGCTATCATGTAGGAAGCCAGGAAAATGAACTCCCAGCCAGCCTTCCAAAGCAAGAATAATTCATTACCCAGCCTGATTTCCACTTAAAATGTACTTTACGTACACTTCCAATGACAACCCCTAAATCACCCTGGGCTCGCAAAGTCCATCATTTTTTATTTTATTGCATGGCGTTGGTGTGACATAATCCCTTGCAGAGAATCCCGGAGTGCTTTACAGATCAATAAATTACTTACCTGCACCATTTAAGCGATGTCTGCAAGGCCAGCGTAGACACTCTGCAGGCAGTCTGTGTTCCAAGAAGCAAGCAAGACTGTGTTAATGCCCAAACTGGGTGGGGCAAGGGCCAGGCAGATGTGTTAGGCCAAGAGTTTGCCAGAAGGAAACGCTACAGTTAAGATAATGTGAGTAAAATACATCAGAGTTTTTACATCTGCAAGAGTTCCCTAGAACTGTAGAACTAAGGGACTTTAGAGATTTATATGTCAAGGCGTCAGCAAATCAGATGCTTAGCCATTAATGTATCCATTGCCTTTCTATCCCTAACAGGCACACTCTGACTTTTAATAATCAACTGCGAATTACAGTGTTAGATCTTCAATATCCTAGGTTGTGGAACAATGAGCCTCCCATCCCACTGTTTTCTCTGCATTACTTACTCTTTATTTCTATCTTAATGTGCAGGAATGGACACACACACACACAGAGAGAGAGAGAGAGAGAGAGAGAGAGAGAGAGAGAGAGAGAGAGAGAGCCTCTTTACATGAAATACAATGTGGATTTAAGTCTAAAAATGATCAATTTTGCTTACTTTATGAAAAACACTGCATGCATGGAAAAATAAAATTAAACAATGAAAAAAGATCTTCTTTAAGACCTTATATTGAAACAGAAAGGGTGAATATTCATCCAGTTGGGGACTGAACATAGCTCCCTGATATGAATGCCCAAGCATTTGTGTCTAGTATGTTTCAGAGACATGGGTGAAGAAGCAGAACTGATTTTGTGTTGTTAAGGGGGACAGGTAGACGGTGAAGGAAATAACAAAGACCTGGTCTTAAAGGGTTATCTACACAGGATATAAGGAAGGACATAGCTCCTCTATGAGGACCAGGAAGGACATGGTGTACTGGGGACAAAGCAAGGAAGAGTGGATGTGGGGGCCACTAGAGATGACTGGGGGGGGAGGTTAGACTCTGAATGTCCTCATATGCTGGCCTAGAGAACCTTATTAAGTCAGGTAGGCAACAGGGAGAATCCATGCTATTTATATAGATATGTGCTGTGTTAGGAACTGCATTACATAAGGCCACCTCTGAATTCAATGAGACTGACTCATGGACTTGTGTTGGAGGTGTGTTTGTGGTGGGGTGGTGTAAGTGGAGACAGAAGGTAGAATTGGGAAAGTTACTGCAGCATTGCCGTGGAGTTGATTTCCTCTGGGATTTGTATGCATGTTTAATTTGGAAGCTAAATTCAAGGTAAGATATTTTTATTTTCCATATTTAAGGTAATTCTTCTAATTTTTCATCTTTTACAAGCATAGTAGTCCATCTGTTTCAACTTTTGGGTTCTTCTGTCAGCGTCTACCTTAAGACAATGAAAAGAGCTGCCAGCAGGATTTTTATGTTCCTTCTACCTGTTTTGTCTCCACAGTATCTCCCAAAATTGTAGAGATTTCTTCAGATATCTCCATTAATGAAGGAAACAACATCAGCCTCACGTGCATAGCCACAGGTAGACCGGAGCCTACAGTAACCTGGAGACATATTTCTCCCAAAGGTAAGAGGAGCAGCTCATGAGAGATAATAGGAGTCTTGTTTGACACGGATGGGAGGTTGTGGTTCCTGGCTCCTGGCTCCAATGGGCTCTGAGATTCTGGTATTCTGAATTCAACTCGTGACTCTGCAGATATGATTGTTCTGTGCACAGTGGCCGTAGCTGTGACAGTCTCAGAAGGTGTACCTGAATATCTGTTTGCAATCTTGTGGAGATTAATTTCGCACGAGTTTGAGGTGGGGGGGAAGTGGTGAAGATGCTCTGTGTGCCCTGGTCCCTTGGAGAATGATGATGGAAGTGCTGTGTTGGTGACATGGTCCAGCTGCTATTTGAGGAGAGAGGAAATACAAACACATAATGACAGATGAGAGCTCTCAATGCCATATTCCTAACAAGAAAATTCCCTAGTCTCTGCTTCTCCAGCCTTGCCAAAAATCTGGTCATTAGCTGTTTTTGTGGTTTTGCTGTTGTTTTTCTCTAATGTTTCCGAGATAACAAGTATCACATAATACGTGGCTGAATTGCAAAATTTATGTTGCCAAAATGTTCAGATGTTCTGAGGACCAAACAGTGGTTTGGGCTTTGAACCTCTAGGATTTGACAAGATGTCACTTATCATTAAGGTGGCTTTGATTTATGATCAATGAACGTAATATTGCTTCATTCATTCCCTAATATTGTAGGAAGTGCAATCATCCAGGCTGTTCTAAGAACTGGGGGAATTAGCCATAACCCCAAACTAACAAAGTTATGCTATTGCGAACTCATATGACCATGTAACATGGACCAGTTAAGGTTGAGAAAATTGAGTAGTATTCATTGATTAATGACAAGGAGTATAGTTACGAAACAGTAGCAGATGAGCAAAGGCCAATGATAGTGGTCTTCAGATCTGTTGCTAATCACTGGCTGATGTATGTAATTATATATGGATTTATGCATACGTGTGAACCAGTGAAGGCATGTATATTGCTAGGTAGAGCAAGGGTAAGGATTCCAAATGCCCCCTTGTGGAGGTTTTCTATTTGTTACAGGCTGTGTGTGCCCACAGCAGACTCAGAGGAGAGTGATGTGGAGGAAAATTATGAAGGGTGCTCTTGAGATCAGCTTCTGTAGAGAAACAGGGAAGGAAGCAAGTTTGGATAGAAGGAGATGATGAGCTGTGGTATGGTTCATGGAAACATTTCAGATGTCTGTGTAGGATTTCTGAAGTACAATGTCCCTTCTATTTTGTCTTCTACTAAGATCATGGGGCTGACCTTCTACATCAACACAGTAGTTCATTGTTGGTTGTACCTTGTCCCCAGAAAGAACAAAACCACTGGGCCAGACAGATTACCTGTTTTCACGAGTATATCCCAGAAGGCCCCAATAACTAAGGGCTTCCTGTTTCCAGCATCTTCTTCACTGGAATCTAAGGCCCCCATCCATAAAGGTGGTAGTGCCTCCATAATCACATTTTTTAAAAAAATCAGTGTTGGACTATAACAGCCTCAAATATGGAATTTCCTTCCAGACCATGGCAATGCACCCTGACAGATGGTCTCAGAGTTGTGACATGTTTGGTTGTATTTGTCCTGAGCTCTGGGGGCTGTGTAGTCATCCTTCTTAATGGCATCCCTGTGAAGAAAGGCATGAGGTAGAACGTTTGCATTTTGGCCAGTCTCTGCTTTTGAAATGACCTCTGTGTGGCCTGGCTGAAGTCTGGGCGGAGACCTCAGCCCTGCATGAGCTCATTAGTGATGGAAAAGGGACCTGGGACACTTGTAACGGCGGAGAGATGCATAGCTTTTCAAGTCTACTCATCCCATTTATCACAGCTTAATGTCACTGAGTCCCCAGTGCTATTAGATACTAGGCCAGTCTGCCTTTCGAAACTGCAGAACATTTATCACTGAGGTAGACTTCCTTCACCTATTCCAAGAGACTCTGTCTCTAGTTTGGTGCTCCTTCTCGTCCAGTCCCTGGCCAGTCAGCTCTTTGTCATTGTATTGATATTTTCCAACCTTTCTCCTCCAGATACCTTCTGTTGTCCAACCCTTTTATGCCTGCGTCTCTACTACACTTTTTGGTTCTTCCATTTTCCTCACTATCTTTTAAATATTTCAGACTTGATTTCATTTAATATCTCCCTTCTCTCTTTCTCTGTACCCTTTCTCCTTCCCTTTCATTTGATACTGGTTCTGCTGTATTTGGGGGTCCTTTGTTCCTCCTTATGTGCCCATGAAGTCAATTCACTGTCCTAGGAGATTTTCACCTGAGCTGGGGCCAGATGCTGCCGCTTTTCCGAGGTTTTAGCTGCTATGGAAACAGAAGATGGATCAAGGGGAGAGGAGCAGGCTGATCAGAATCTACCTGCAGATTAGAGTCATTTAGATGAACGACTTTGTCCAGATCTGGGGCCTAGATTAGGTGTCCCATTTTCAGACTGATGAGATATGCCAAGCTGTAGCTAATCACCTCAAAACTCACTGGGGACCAGTGTTCCCGGAGATGATTCTTTGGAGATCAGAGATGTCACTGAGCTGCTGCCAAATCGGAGCTGAAGCTAGAGACCCTTAGCAGTCAGGCCTTTATCTGTACCCACTAAATGTTTCCAAGAAAGTGCTTCTTTTAAATGAACTAGGACAGGCCTAGAGCTCCGGAGAGAATGATGTGCCCCTTTGCTGAGTCTCCAAAGACAGTGAGCAATTGTCATCTTTTGTCCCAGTGGTGAAGACGGATCATGTCTCAGTCAAATCATTCTCACACAGACATGAAACTCTCCCCAAAGAATAGCTGATCCAGGCACTTGGGGCAATCTGATGACTTCATTGTGTTTTCTCTCTCTCTAGACTGATCTGTTGGTTTGGGGAAGTTTTGGAAATGCCTAGTTTTGTTTATCAGAAGTCATCCCGGAAAACTCACAATAATCGCATCACCTCTTTAGGCCGACTGTTTCCAGCCACGACCATCTTCTGTGCAGAAAGGGAATGCAGACATATAGACTGCTCTTTCAGGAAGGCTCCTGAACGTTGATATAGGAGTGGATGTCTGGTGGATAAAAGGGTCAAAAAGCCTGTCCAGGCCATTCATCAGGTAGAGGAAATGCCAGATGCCCACAGACAGGATGGAGAGGAATATATGACATCCCAAGCTGCTTTTCGGGCATAGCCATTTTTTTTTGTGCAAAGTAGTTTTCCTATGTCTTTTCTAGCTCCTCCTCATAACCACCACTCCTCGAGTTCAAGGAGAAAGTGCACAGTTTTCTGGGTGTCTGTCCTTACTCTGCACGTGTTTTGAGGATGTGTACTTACTGTCTGCACTTGCCTGAGCCCTGATTTTTTTCAGAAGAAAATGTTCCCATTTCGAGTCCTTCCAAGAAAGAGTTGCAGCTAGCTTCATGACGGGCCAAGCCAAAGTCCTCAGAAGGGTCAGTCTGTGCACATGCCGCATCAGGGAAACCAGCATCTCCTCCAAGGCTGCTTCCTGCTCAGGAGCCTGTGTTTGTCCTTCATCTTTACCTAGGCCTGAAAGAATGCGCTTTCAGTTTACCCTGAAAATATCCAAAGTCAGCTGCATTCTTCACAGAAACATGTTCTCACAGCCCTGGCATCAGATCTTATTGAGGTGTCAGGGGGTTAGAGAAACAGCTGGGATTCCTACATTGTCCCATTCCTGGCAGATGACGATCCAATCAGGAATCTGTGGACGTTTTTACTCCTTTGGAACCGAGAATCATTGGGCACCTGATAGTTCATGGGCACCTGCTTTCACCCCCTTTCTTTCACAAAAACTCTTGGGTAGTTAGTTCCATCCTCATCTAAGATGCCCAAAGAACAGCCCACGCTAAGACAAAGGAAGAGGCGTTGAGGAAGTCCACGGAACAGAGATGCCCCACATCCGGTTCCTTTGTAACCTCCCCGTTTCAAGAGTTCTTTGAGATCAGGGTCTGTGTCTCATTTCCTTTTTTCATTCTTCACTGATGCACACTCCCTGGGGCCTAGATACTGCCCTCTGTGAGCTTGCTGCACAGCGATGCTCTTTGTCCTGGCTCCAAAGGGGCATGCCTCTTCTCCCGAATGCAATGCTCCAGGCTTACTCTTGAAGGTTCTCCTTCACTGGGGTGTTTACAGTGGGGATCTGCCATCTCGCCCACATGGAACCCCTGTTGAAGCTCCAGGACATTTCCGCTACTTTCCCATATTCTCCAGCGCTTTCCTGAGGCCCCGCCCCGCTCCCGCCCAAGGAACTAGCTCTGATGGGTGGTCCAATTTAGTCTGAAAGGAGAGGCCCCTCTTCAAGTTGACTTTCACAGACATGGAGAAGGCTCACAGCGGCTTTGATGTTGGGGGTTCTGATGTACTTGGGCCCTTGGTGCCCGTCACGCTGCTGAGATGTGTGTTTCTGGAACATAGTCTTCACCTTGTCCTTCTGGGACAACCTGAGTCTTCCACTACCTACTGCTTTCCCATTCCCATCTGTGGCTCCTAAGTGCAGTTTCCTAAAGTACAAAGGAGGACCGTGGAATATGTAAGAAAATGTGCCGGCCCTCTCAGATTGAGAAAAACAACAGCAATTCATTAGTGAGTAAAAGAAAATTATTATTTTAAATCCTCTCTCCTGCCTGCCTTTCCCACTCCCCATTTCCTCCTTCTTGGTGGGTAAATAGAAATGGGCAGGCAAGCCAAGCTTCCTCTCAGAGTTACATAAAGATATTAGGGTGCATGAGAGCAGAAGTGTGTTTCCTGAATTTCAAAACAAAGAAATCCTTTATTTTTAAAGGAGGGCCCCAAATATTTTAAAATATTTATTTATTTTTCCTTTTTCTTATTTTTAAAACAACCTTATTTTGCATACCATTTCCAGTTCCCCCTCCCTCCTGTCTTCCCACTCCTTCCATTTTTCCTCTACCCCTCTCCCATCCACTCCTCAAAGAAGGTGAGACCTCCCATGGGGAGTCAACAAAGTCTGTCATATCACTTGAGATACGACCAAAGCCCCACCCCCCACTCCCGTGTATC